CTTTCTTTGTGAACAATGAAATGTTGCTTGGAAAAAAATACAATCATTTAAAGAAAACATTTCACAATTGAATGTGTTATCCTCTTAGTGTAACTGAATTTTACTTATGCTTGACATGTATTCTCAAGGTCAAAGCTTCAGTAATTTGAGACCAGCACTGGTGTGACATCCATTTCCAATAGCAAAACCTCTATGTTATTTTTGTTTTTTAACATTATAGTATAATGTATAATATAAGTAAATGTGCAGAGGCATCACTTCCATCCTTTCATTTTTATTTTACATCATGACGAGCAACTGCTCTGCAAGGACTGTGTCTCCAGCAATGTTTTTCACAAGGCAGTTCTTGTTCAAGTTTATCATGCATGCGTGATGAATAATATTTAGTCCCACAGAAGGTGCCAATATAGCACCATGTTACTCTGAATCATCACAGGTCTGTTCATCTTTCAGAACTGATAATCTTTTGGGAAATAATAGCAGCCAGTAATATTAGATATGTATATTAGTTACATTTGAGTGGAGGGTTGCAAATAGGGAATTGAGAATGTGATGCAGAGGTGGGTAAATAATCATAAACCAAACTTTTAAACCTTTTTTGTGCCATAAAATTAAGTTTACCAAGAAACTGTCACAATATAAAAGTGACTGCATTTTATTATTACAAAAAGGGTATATGCGTCATCCCACTATACCTGCCAGAGAGAGTATCTGGGATCACAACTTTAAGGAAAAATATATTTCATTGTTTCCATGTTTGAGATGCCAGGAACGCGCGCACGTGCTGAGGCTCTGGAAAGATGAAGCGGATTGTTATTCATAGTGCTATCCCTGCCTCATGCATATCCATAACGGATTAAAGATTGCGCAAACATTATGCAACCAGAGCATGGTCTTTTCCCGCGTTGATTGGCATTTCTGGGGCACAAATCGGAATTGTGCAAGAGATATGGGCCACTTGTGTTGTTGTAGTGTCATCATTTTATTTTGGTTAAGGAAAACAATGCTATAGAGGCTTTATTTATGTGTTTCTTGTTCATGGATGTAGTTTATACATATATCAACCTGTTCACGCGAATACCTTTGTGCGCTATACTTCGGTGTAACGTTTATCTTTATATAAACATGCGCGTAAATTCCATTTCCCTATGTTGCAGTATAGCCAATTTGGAGCTTTACACTATTAATAGCATTGCGCGGGGAAATCACCACAAGAGGCGATGAATGAAGTCTTTAAATAATGGAAAGGCACTCTCCAATTCTAATTCATTGTCTCTGGAAAAGAGGACATTAACGAGCATTGTTCCTTTATTTTGAAAGGCTGATGAATATGTGAGCACTGCTGTCCGTCGCCTCAGGGGAGCACCGTCCTGTGGGGTGGGGGCTGTCCCGGGACGGGGGCGGCTCTCAGGTGAAAAGTTTGCTTAAACTGCTGAATCACGGCATTCAAGCAATGTCAAACAAAGGCCGTTTTTTTTTTTTACTTAGCAGCTTATGTTAAAGCCTAGGTAACAGTTATATGACTTAAATTAAATGTTTGATTGATTGCAAAGGATACTTATTCTTTAACAATGTTAACCTCAACACAACACCTTCTCCAAAAGCCTGCAGTCCAATGATGCATAAAGCTATAGTTTTCCCTCCTCAGGGGGAATGCTTGTTATTGCGCCTGGCATGCTATGGCACTCAGGGCAGAGCAGCGGTCCATTAAAATGATGTCAATTGCTCATTTGCCAGTTTACCACTTCTCAAAAGTGTCGAAAATATATCTGTCAAAAGACAAACGCGAAGCACAATTGCCGAACATCTGCTTTGCTGAATGAGCGTTTGCCGGAGCCTTCACTCCGGGGACCTATTAGCGTTTATTCCTGCCTGCTCTGATAAGGAATTCATCAAGTTTCTGACACCCAGCCAGATGTTTGGGAATAAGCACTGTCTCCTGTTGGACATCTTACTAATAGTTTGTCTTTCACCCCATCGCAGAAAATAAATATTACTAGAGAGGTGGGTGGTGTTGTGGGCTATACATGATGGCCCCTTGGTACTTATTTATGTTTTTATTGTGGACATTTAGCCATTGTTTATGGTGACAGAAACATGAATTCGATCTGTTTCCTCTGTTTCACTAAGTTTTCTTGTGTCAGAGTGGGCGCTTAAGCAACTGCACTAATTGAAAACTGCATATCATTGTATGATGTTTCCCAATTGTACCACTTTCACTCATTTCCTCATCAGCAGAGTTGCCTTCAGGCTATACAGTATACAGTACGGTGGGGTATGTAAATGTCAATTGAAGAATAATTGAAGTCAAAGACAAAGCCATTGTGTTAATCAGTTTGCATCACAAAAGCCATGAAACACGTTAAGATATAAAGGCACACCGTGGATTAAGGTACTTTGGGAATGCATATTCAACAGCCTGCTGGAGGTGAAATAAGCATCGATAATTGGCGAGCATATCAACTTCCGCGCAAATGGAAGCCCTCGTTTAAGTAATTATCAGATGTAGGCCTATGTTAGCTCATCTGCAATCATTTGTCTATCAAGCGATATTTTTCCCCTTATGATGTTACCAATCCATCTCACATCCATCAATCTGATTGTTATGGTGTGTTAAGTGACACAAAATACCCGAGGAGGCTCAATGTCTTGATTGAACAAACGACTGCTATAAATATCCAGTAATCCACTATGTTAACTTGTTCTGTTGCCATATGTGGAAAGATAAACCCTGCATTTCACACACATTCTCAGATTAATTCATGATGATTCAGTTTTGGCAGCATGGATCGTTTCTATTTTGAGCATTGATGGCAGGAAATCAGAACATCCTTGCAGACAGCTGATGCGTAAGGCCCTTCCCATTTCTTATATAAGATTCACGGCCAAGTGCTCTGCAGAAGTGCCCTTGAGCAAGACCTGTGCACCCTGCACAGTTGCCTTCAGTGTGAAGCTTTACTTGTGCCATACAAGCCTTAAAGGATTAAAAGCATATTGCATGTGCAGATAAAATGTATACACAGTCAAATTAGATAAGGTCTGTGCATGTTGTGTCCAATAATGACCAGATTATTAATGAGTGATAAATTAGCCACTGTGTTTATTAAGATCACATCCTCGGTTGCGTGACAAAAGGCGTTGGGGACCTGCTCGTGCCGGTTTATCCTCTGAGAGCGCGCTCACCCGATTAGCCAGCAACTACTCTGCGACTGTGGAAGTTAGATGCAGGGTTGACCAATCAATCCGATATCAAACTTCAGCGACAGACGCTAGCCAGGAGTAGGCCTACAACTCAGTCCTGTGTTTGTTTCCTGCAGAACACCCCCCCACTCCCCCCAGCAGCCTCCGCTCCCTTCCTCCTTCGGATCCTACCAGCAGCAGATCCTATAGGCAGAGAGAGAGAGAGATTAAAGCTATTGCACGCTGCCAACAGCCAGCTGCCATCCTCCGCGTCCACACACCGCAGCAATCCATAAAATAACTTGAGATGAATGGGCGCTAACGTTATGCAGAGCCAGTTGTAGTCTGCTGCACGGGGGCATTGCTGTGATACAGCCGCCAGTCTTTACACAACTGCATCCACGTGACCGTCACTGCTTTCTAATCCATTGAGAATCCAGCAGAAAGGGAGCCTTTCATGTTTTTTTTCTTTCTCTCCATGGATTGAATCGCCTGCCCTGGTTTCTCAAATAACGTGGAAACGATGATTTGTAGCCTATTGGGTGTCAGCATAAAGCTCATGCATGGGAAATAACACATATTATTCTAAATCTCAAAACAATGTTCAATCTGATCCACCCGGTTGACTATTCACTAAATAACATACATTTGTGCAAATGACTTGAGCACATATACGATCCACATTTAAATGTAAAAATATGTCTGATTTATGTAATTGTAATAATTTGCGTGTATTCCTTATTGAGGTCACGTCATGCAGATCAAAGTGCAGCCACCTTTCGTTTTATCACATCCAAGATACATGCGTAAAAATGCAGCCTCCATGTGCCGCCGTGTTTCGGAGCAAGCCGGGTCTCGGTTTTTTGACGTCACTGTGTCTGAGAGGGGGAACTTGAAATGTGCGACAAGACTAGACGAGCCAGGCAGGAGGAGAGGGAGGAGGGTGATGTGGGTAAGAGAGGAGGGAAGAGGCAGTGAAATAAACGAATCAAACGAAGTGCAAAGGTTGCGCTTGCGCAATAGTCAGAAACTAAATTGAATCAATTTTCCCAAATCTGAAGGATATTGGGAGTGTGTGTTATGGTTTGAAACACCATGCGGTAGTTTGTTTAAGAAAGGCTCTTCTGCTTTTCAGAATATAATTAGTAAAGTATTTATTTTACAGAGGTGTTTGAAGTTACCACCTTGTGTATTTCATAATTGTTCCTGCATTAACATGGCCTTCTAAAACATTTGATTCGCGACACTATGAAATATTAGAGATTCAGAGTCTTTGCATGAGCTCTTGTTCGGATTCAAACTGATTTTTTTCGCCGTTTAAATGCGTATTATGGCGTCCATTGATGTGTGGTAACTCCTTTGGTTGTTTTTATGAAGCGGTTCCTTGTTAATCGGGTAGTGGGAGACATAGGGCAGCTCCACTTTTGGCAACGAACCCCCCTCCACTTTCACGGTCACACTGTGTCCTCAGTTGCCCGTCTTGTAGTGTGCATTTTTTGACTATTTTTGGTAAGCAGAATAAAATAACAAAATCTAAACTTTGCAAGTGCAACTCTCGCAGCCATGGATGAACCGTATTCCCAATCTAAAGCTACTCTCTGCCAAGATGTGGTGCTCCAACTTGGTCCCCCAAATATTCCCATTCACAAGCACACATACACACACATAGCCAAGATACTAAGATGGCGCCTTAATCAGTGTCAAGTTCAATGACTCCTACTAGTCTGATACAAACAGCATATTCAACAGTGTCGGATATATGTGTAAAGATGCAGGGAGCAGAACAACACGGTGATAATAATCAACCTCGCAGTCTGAAGTTGCTTTTCATAATGATTTTTTTAATTTCAGTCAAAATTTTGTTCACATTTCTTCATAAATAGTTGGTAAAACAAATCAACCAACAGACAGTAGCCTAAAAAGTACAAGGAACCTTTGCCTCTGGTAGCTAAATAGGCTAACTCATAGGCCTGCTGCAACAGGGTTTGCCTCAATGTGGCACAGTGACACAGTTCATCAGTAAAACATTTTTGCTTTTCAGGAATAACTTGGAGTTTGACCCATTTCTCCCAGAAAGTGTTACAACATCACATTCTAGCTGTTTTTATACATCAGATATTTTTCGCTGACCTCTGGACATGGGGCAGAAAGGTGGTGGGAATAAGAAAAAGTACTTCATTTAAATTAAGGTATAGAAAATAGCATATAAAACATATATTCCTTAAATTATTTAAATAAACTTATTTCATATATCACTGTCACGAGGTACCGTTTTTTACATTTTATTTTAAAAGTAGTGCTGGTGGTCTGAAAATTGTCCTCATATGAGTACAATATACTTTGTGTATGCATAATATTTAATTCTTGAGAATAGGTTACAATGCAATGCTGTAACTCTTTTTGCCACTGAACGGCTTCTTCCCCCAACTCACATATTTTTAAATTCCTTCCACTAGATTTTGTTAAACACAAAAAATGTAATCTTGACAAGTTATTCACACAAAACAAGCAAATGTGTAATCAAACTGCTCTATATGCAACACCACAACAAATAACACACTTAGTTTCACAGAAGAATTACATTTAAAACAATGCAAGCTGACGGACAAAAAAACTTTTTTTATTTTTGAAGATACTGTGTTGTGACAGTTCCATTGTTGCCGATGCACACATTTAAACATACTTGCACAAAGACATTGCTGGAACTATAAAGAGTGCCATACTGGCGCATATAAGTGGGTGCTTGACCCGAATTGGAAATAAAATGCTGTCTCCTTGATTTGGAAATCATGAACTTCGCACAATCGTCTAAGACCTGTATAGGAGTGCAATAGGCTGATGGATTTGTTCTTTTTTTTAATACTGAGTTTATGCTACGAATTGACATCTATTTCTGATACTAGAAAAGTAAAATACACAAAAAAGTTTAACCAAAAATAAAGATATCAACAGAACCCTTTTTATAGCTTCTCAGCTCAACTGAACTCAGTTCTACAATGTCAATGATTTACATGTCAATGGTCTCATAAAGAAAATAAAAGTGACGGAAATATCTGCATTATATATAGACAAATCCATAATATTCATATAGATGATTTCTTCGATCCAAATAAGACACATATAGGCCTATTGGTTAAAAAGAAAAGGAGAAGGATACAATCGCGATGTTGGAGCTTTAGAGTTTATCATGTGTTCAATGTTAAGCTGGTTATGACCAAAACTGTACAGTTCTTGTTAGAAAACATTTCCATAAATATCATTTAAGTTTCAGAACTCATACCCATAATTAAATTACAAATTGATAAATATGGCATCATGGATATGTATTTACAACGGTATTAACAAAAGGCAACGTTATATTTAACGGTAACAATCGTAACCTAATACCACATTTCTCCACCTGAAAACGGACGTTGACAATAGATTCGACCCCATCAAACAAGGAAATACATTCACGAGTATAATATTTATTTAGGATTTTTTTTCTGTGTTCAAGTTCATGACAAAGACTTTGGCACGTTTCTTAAGACTGTCTGAAGTTCCAACAATCAATTGAAGAGGCGACAATAGCGCGTCACCGTCATATAAAACAGTGTGAAATATTCTTCCTTTTTATTCTTTTTTTTAAATAAAAATTTGAGAAAATACATAAAATGAAAAATAAAACATTTTTTCTGTAAACTAAAAGATAAAAAAACATTTATTTATACTGAGAAAGTATTGAGTTCTATTTATTCATGATTTTTGTTTGATTTCCTCAAAACTGCGCAATACAAGTCACATTTTGCGATCCTGAGAACGTACGTGGCCTGCTTGGTGCTGGCTTTTGCTCTCATCTCCTGTCGTTGTTGTTGTTGATGCCCCAATCCCATTTGTGTGTGTCTGACAGCGTGTGTGTGTGTGTGTGTGTGTGTGTGTGTGTGTGTGTGTGTGTGTGTGTGTGTGTGTGTGTGTGTGTGTGTGTGTGTGACTGTGACTGTGTTTGTGTGTGCGCATGAGTGTGTGTGAAGAGAACAGGAATAGTTTTTCAGTTGTTTTTGTTATCCTCAACTCCGCGGTCCACATTGAGAGATGGTTTGCTCTTCCGACTTCAAACGTACCATTCATTAAAGTTGGGTGCCAGTCCTTCGCTGTGACCAGACGTGTTTTGCACCGCTAATGGCGGTGTTTTTGTCGGGTCTTCCGTGTTGACTGAGACCAGCACTGGTGGTGTGGACGACTCGTATCCAGAGCTGGCTGCTGGAGACGATTCGGATGCTTGAGACTCATGTACCTGAAAAAAAATAAAAAAATAAACACTAAACACTAAGAATAACTTATACTATTATGATATGCCCCAGTCCATGTGAAGTGGCTAGCAGGGTGTTGGATTTAAATGCGGATTAACTCTGGATTTTGTAGAGCTTCTATAACAGTAAACACACAGAAAACTTAAAACAGGCACGACAACTTCTACACTGCAAACTATGTCCAAATCAATGCTCCATTAACGTGCATCGTAACACGTATTTTTCTTTTTAAACTAGAATATTTAAATGTCAAGAGAAAACATTTAGACGCATGCATTGCTTTAAACTAGGCTTGTTTTTTTAATTAATGCACAAAAGGTTTCAAACCGTAAATCTAGTTTAGAAGAGTGGCAGGCATGTAGTAGGCTAGGCTTTATTCACAGATAATTCACTGACATATTCAAATTGTTTAATTGTGCCTATCCCTAATATACTCTATAACATCTTAAATGTTTCTTTTTTTGCACCGAAATAGTGCTGTAACAGCTTAAGAAATGCCTGAAGTTGTGATAGTTCCTGTCTGTTGCAGGGGGGTGGGGGGTGGAGAGTGTGTGTGTATATGTGTGTTAATGTGTTTAAGGAGTAATGAAGACGTTAATTACCTTCATGTGTTTCCTGAGAGAGCTGGGGTGTGTGTATGACTTGTCGCACACTTTGCAGATGTATGGCTTGTCTGATGTGTGCACATGCATGTGCTTTTTCCTGTCGCTGCTGTTGGCGAAGCGTCTGTCACAGCCATCAAATTCACACTTAAACGGCTTCTCACCTGCAGGATTAAATACACACCATGAGTTACCCCAATGGCCCGAACAAACAAACTCCCATTGTAACACATCCTGTAAAGCCGCAGCCCGATGTAAATGGTCTGCAGCGTATTATATAACAAGAGTAACCTACATTTTCTGGGCGACATGGATACAGCTACTACACTCTGCTCTGTCAGGCTTTATTTATTCAAGAGGCCTGCACCTTCATACTACTACTGGCCTGCTCTGTGCGTCTGCTCGTATAGTAAACATTGAATCAACAGGGCATCTTCTGCACTATATGATAGCTGAACAAGGACAATAATTAGCTACAAACTGATTCCTTATCATTTTATATAAAGTTCAGAAGGCACAATAGGTAGTCTAGCTCTAAAGAGCACTTTAACTTGAATACATGCGTAAAGTATCTATCTTTATATATCTCATCCAACTTCCTAGCAGAAAACTACAGGGATTAAGGGTTAACATAAAGAGTTGGATAACAACAACAACACATTTTTCTTAATTGATCATGCTAACAATAATGTATCACTTTGTTTATTATGAACTGCACTACAACTATTTGGAAACTGTTCAGCTGGATACATGTGGGCCCAACTTCTCAGATGGTTATTGTAAACAACAAAATATGCACACATTTGTTAGCACTCTAAAACAGGCAGGATTCAGCATTTCTAAACATACAAGCCTCACTTTAAAACAGTGTTATTTTACGCATGCTGCGTGCTTTTGCCGGTGCCTACCTGTATGTGTTCTTTTGTGGATTTTCAAATTTTCCGATCTGGCGAATATTTTCCCACATCCGGGGAATGGGCATGGGAATGGTTTTTCTCCCGTGTGCACACGGATGTGGTTGACGAGTTTGTACTTGGCCTTAAAAGATTTCCCTTCTCTCGGGCAGTCCTCCCAAAAGCAGATGTGGTTGCTCTGCTCCGGGCCGCCAACATGCTCCATGGACACATGAGTGACCATCTCGTGCATTGTGCTGAACGTCCTCTCGCAAGTCTTTTTGGGTCTGTTCATCTGGTTCTCGTCAATCCATTTGCAGGATAATTCTTGTTTAATTGGTTGTCTCATGTATCTAAAGAAGGCCCCGGGACCGTGGTGTGTCGGCACATTCATCCCCATGTTCATGTTGATGGGATGGCTGTAGTTGTGGAGCTGAGCCCCGTAGTGGTCCGTCCGAGGGCTCGCAACCGGACGGTACGGATCAGGTCGTCCGAAAATGTCCCCACGTAAGCCAAGATGCATTTGGCTGTTAACAACATGTCCACTCGGTGAAGTGTGGCTCACCCCCTGGTCGTGAAGTCCTGGAAACAACAGATGTCCGGGGTTATCGCTCATCCCGGGCGGACCGTGGAGGCTACCCGCCGAAGCTGCAAAGAGCCCATGCTGTGCGCTCGGCCCCGTGGACTCTCCAACACCCCGGTTCCGGAAGAGAAAGTCCCGTGTTGAATTGAAAGCTCCCCCGCCGTACGAGCCCACCTGCCCGCCGTGAGTGTGTCCCAGGGCAGCTGCATATCCAGTGGCTTGCGGGGTGAAAGCTGATGTCTGGCTGGAGGCGATATCGTGTGCCACGCCGGGGCTGATTTTGAAAGCTGCGGAGTGGGGGGGATCGGCGAAGGGATTCAACCCCAGACCCGGGTCTCTGTTCCCGAGGTCGTGGTGCCGTGGTGTACCGAAACCCCCGACTCCTAACGATGCAAACTGCGGACCGCTATCAAGAAGCATAGTCATGAGCTCGAAGCAAATTTAGGAGAGGGGAAGAAAACAAAATTAAAATCCAGTGCAGCGGAGCGCGCAAGCTGCAGACACCGCGCCGAGATTTACCACGTTTTACGAAAATCCTAAAATAAAAAACAACGGGGCAAAAACGGTGAAAAATCCTATGCGTAAAGAGTTGGGAGAAAAAAAACTCCCGTTGACTGCGATCCGTGAGAAAGAGGATCAAACTTCCCCCCCTTTCCAGCCGGATGATGTCCTTGGACTGATAAAGTCAATCACTCACTCCCCGAACATAAATGAACTCAGGAGGCAGTGCTACGACAGCCAATGAGCGCTCAGCTACCCCTCTGGCACGTGACTGCGAAGGAGGGTGTTAATTGGCTAGATTTCTGGTGATTGGCACAGTTTGGTATTGAAGATGGCAGGTCGTCTCAATTGGTTTCATTTGATTGGCTCTTACAGGCATTATTTTGCAGGTAAAGCGGAGCACTAGCGCAGATCCTGCATGTGTTATGTGCAGAGCATGTCTTATGCAGCCTTGCATGGTTTTATATTCCTCAGAAACTACCAGGCAGTTTTATAAATAAATATACAAATAATTGGATCAGTTATTATGCCACCCTGCAATTTTTTTAACAACTATATTTCTAGAGTGGCCCACTCTATTATTTCACAGTAACAGCAACGAACTAACACTGCATACAAAAAACGTTTTTGGTTAAGCCTTTTGAGTTTTTTCAAACATATTTAAAACTTTAGAATACATTTTGAAATGCCTGTCTATTTAACATCTCTATCTATCTATCTATCTATCTATCTATCTATCTATCTATCTATCTATCTATCTATCTATCTATCTATCTATCTATCTATCTATCTATCTATCTATCTATCTATCTATCTATCTATCTATCTATCTATCTATCTATCTATCTAATGTAGTTTATATATCATTGACTCATCTGTTATTCTTCTCTCTCATGTGACCAGTTTAGCTCTTATTAACTGAAAACTTGAATGTACTTGGCACAGTTCCAAACTGTGGCTTTCTTGAAGCCGCTTGAAAGGGGAGGGGGGTATTTTTTTTTGCAAAAGCTCTATAGGGTGTAAGACGGTGGAATAAAAGGCAGAAAGAAAGATGGCAGTAATTGTAATATCCTGAGATTTTTTAGCTCAGCCAAAAATTCGTGCCATTGAGCAAGTTTCACAGGGCTGCCACTGACTCGCTGCAGGACACATGAAATCTGATCAAGTTCAGAGACGCGCTGAGTGCTTCAAGCGGCGCTTTTTAACTCCAAGCCATTCACATCCGTTCCCCCTCAATCTGTCCCAGGAAGGAGCTCACATTCTTTATTTTAAGGGATCTGGACCAAAAAAAAAATCTTCAAATCAGTCCTTCATTCTGCTTTCGCCCTCACCCTACCGCATTCACCCCAGAACATTTCCTCGAGAAAGAGTTATAGATTGAAAAGGTGAGTTTTATTACTTCTCCGTCGTCCGTCTGTTAGTAGCCTACCAGGGGCCATGAGGCAGGCCTGTGTGGACTGCACGGTGGCGAAGTGCAAACATGTAGCCTACAGTGTATTATATTTAGCCGGTGGAGGTTTCATGGGATTTAGTTTTCTTGAAGTGAACATAGCCTGCTCGGTGTTTAGGCCTGTTACTCATATGTTAATTTAAATGTTGCAAGGACCTGCATACCTCTGTTTTTTTTATGGAAGTCGCGCACATTAGTACAACACTTGCGCTTTTTGTACATAACCTCGACAATTTGTCTTGAAGCAAAACGACGAATGAGACTCACTTCATCTATTTTTCCTCCGTAAGCTGCTCTCTCCCTCTCTCTCCCATTTTCTCCCCCTCCCTCTGTTTGCCTGCCTCTTTCTCCCTCTCTTTTCTCCCTCTCTCCTCTCTCTCACCACGAATACATAGCCTCTCACAGTTTACTCCTCCCTTCACTCTCACACACACGTCCTCTCACACGGCACACCATGCGCATGCACGAAAACACACACAGTAAACCATTAGCACACACACACACACACACACACACACACACACACACACACACACACACACACACACACACACACCAACACGTAGCCTACAAAGAGAGAGAGAGAGACACACACACAGTTAACATAGTTTGCCTTTGCAGTTTTGCAGTATGAGATTTATGGCGACCTTTGTGATCTTTCACAAGTGACAAGCAGCCTGTTAAGTTTTCCTCTATTCCCTCCGTATTTTATTGGCTTGTTGAAACGTGTAGGCCCCATACGCACTTAAGGTCATGTGCCGTGTATTTGCAGCCACATTATCACTATGGAATAATAACGTAACATGGTTTAGATGAGTCACAAATGTTTGTGAGCGATAGCAGCAGCGTCGGCAATGCTGAGAAAAAGAGAAGCTGTCATCAAATAGACCTAAGAGCAACTGTTGCCTGTCTAAAAATCTAAAACTAAAATTACTCCAGATCTCTTCAGGTGTTCTGGTATTTATTAAAACGGTATTTATTATGTAATTAATTCTACAAATGTGGATTGTCAAGATTTGAGCTTAAAACATCGATGTTCTAATTGTTTTGTCAACCCCGAATACGAGGTTGCACGAATACATAGGTCATATATTATTATTTTTTTTTTGTAAAAAATAACAACCCAAAGAATCAGACTGCTTTGCCGCATAAATACTTTTTTTGGTGAACAATAGAAAATGGAGAAACTTAAAAACAGGGGAAAGTGCTTCACAGGCCTTTTTATAGTGCTGCACTTTTGGTAGGCGTTTGTCTCACTCACACCAGCCATTCTCCCCCCAGAATATGTTCCCCGCTCCTCGGGCATGCCGCCCTTCACATTTTCACCTCTTTTTTGACATGTCTATTACCTTTAATTCTGTTACATTTTACACCGTTATATTTTCTAGTTTTGCAACCACTGACATTATTGTTCAAACCGTTAGAGATGTGAGTTTCAATTTCGTAAAACGATTAATTGAATATGCTTAGTGGTTTAGGTGTTTTCTTTGATTGCAATGTTGGACACAGTCTAAAATATTTAATGATCATTTGCACGTGGGTGTAATGTAACGTGCTAAATTATCACGTTATTCTGCAGCACTATTTAGACTATAATTTGATGATTTAGTTATCTCTGCTGGGATTACCTCATTGGGCGTTTGGATAGCCCATTGGTTATAACATAAGCTTCTTCAAACTGAGCATGCGCGTTACCTTAAAATATCCCCATATTGTACTGTGCATACCTCTTTGACAGTATGCCCATGCTGTTGGAAAAGAGCAGAACATAACCATCAGCCTAAATGGTAAACAACTCACATTTATACATTTATTCTAACTAGATGTGTTGAGTCAGCAGTGTGAAAGTGTTTTAAATGCATAATTTGAAAAATGACTTGGATGCATGATCATTATGTTCTTATATAAAGAAATGTGCCTATGGCAGCCCAAACGTCTGGATAATTTTCTTATAGCAATGTTAAGTCGTTATTTTTTTAGTCCATGTTGTCTGGCCTGAAGCCTATGCATGGCTGGCTCAGGCCGCTTGTGCTATAGAGATTTTGGACTTAAGGTTAACTCAGTAGTGACCAGACAAAGGGGAAATCTTCATCAGTCGCAAAAGCATAGCCCGAAAGTACTTCCATGTATTCAATACCCCTGAATATGAATACGTTTTCTGTATATACATAAAGGAAATGGCAATGTATCCCGGCACAGTTAAATGAATATCACTATTTTTGTTTAAATGAGCATTGGGCTGAATGATTGTGCAGGTTTTGCTGTGGTTTAACTTGGCATCTCTTATAGGTTATGGGTTGATACAATACTGCAATGCATGGTTGTGTTCGGTGTGCTGCATTAGGTGCATTCTCCATGACACTTTTTCCCAGTTCTGTAATATTCTGCAGAGCCCTTAGACTCAGGCTCTGGTGTGCCCTCATAGAATCCAGTAAATATCATACATTCTCAGATTAAAATACATTTAGATTGACATTTGTTTCAGCAAAATTACATTTTTATGCATGCACTTGTTTCCGAAATCCTTAACCGTTCACAAAACTAAAATGTACTTTATACATTATATTGTATTTTAAAACACACTCCTATAATCAAATGTTATTTTGAATATCCGTGCAAGTGTAGCGGGTGATAATGACATGGAATTTGCAGCCGTAGATACTGAAGTTTTACATGACGAAAGACAATTTTACTGTCTTGTAATTTAGAATTTCACAATGTGATGCTTGACTTTATTGCATTGTTATCGGGCACATTTTGTTGCTGTGTATTTGTTGGTTCGTCATAGGAGAAACACACATGTTTCGGGGGTTCATATTGCCCTATGAGGGTGTATACTTGCATACAGTACAATAACTCCACAGATCGGTGTTTATTTATCATATATTATCTGGTCAGTTGGGTTTGAGTGACTGCGACAGTACTGCAGTATAGTGTTCGCCTTCCTATTGCTGATGGAGAAGGCTAATTGACTTCTTGCTGTGATTTACTGGAGCATCGGTCTGCAAATGGACTCGTCCCAAACCTGTTAATTCATCTAAATTTCATAAAGTCATGGAAAGACTGCACACTGCCATTCTTTATCAATTGTAGTATCTCAGCACCACTCACTACTCCACACAAATATATGCAGTTGTTTAAATAGTACACGCACATGCAAAACACACACATATAGGCATAGTTGTACCACATATATGAACATTGTAACTCTGTGTCCACACACACACACACACACACACACACACACACACACACACACACACACACACACACACACACACACACACACACACACACACACACACACACACACACACACACACACAAACATTTGGGATATTTGATATGATAATTTTATCTTCCTCATGCTTTTATTTTTTCAATTTGTAGTTAAACATTGACAATACTACACTATGCTAACACCTGGTGATTTATAAACAGACTGTGAATAGTTTATTATGAATAAACATGCATATTGACATGTATATTTATATTAAGCTAGTATATGTTTATCGCCTTTGTTCAAAGACTTTACCCAAAAAAGGAAATCATGTTTCTTTCAAACAATTCTTCGCAACACAATCCCGGGTAAAGAAATGCAATTAGCTGAATTTTCAGTCCAGTTTTCTACACAGTGGTATACTGTAACTCTTGTCTTCTGGCAGTTGTTTTCTTCTTCTATTACATCTCT